TTACCCAAAAGGTTGGAACCCCTACCCAAAAAAGTTGAAACCCCTCTTCCCAAGAGTTGGAACCCCTACCCAAAACGGTTATAACCTCTCTCCCAAGAGTTGGAACCTCTACTCAAAAGGTTGAAACCTCTACCCAAAAAAGTTAAAACCTCTCCCCCAAGAGTTGGAACCCCTACCCAAAAAATTTGGAACCCCTCCTCCTAAGAATTGGAACTTCTACGCAAAAAAGTTGGAACCCCTACCCAAAAAAATTGGAACCCCTCTCCCAAGAGTTGGAACCTCTATCCAAAAGGATAGAACTCCTACCCAAAAAAGTTGGAATCCCTCTCCCAAGAGTTAGAACCTCTACCCAAAAAAGTTGGAACCCCTACCAAAAAAAGTTAAAACCTCTTCTCCCAAGAGTTGGAACCTCTACCAAAAAGGTTGGAACTACTACCCAAAAAGTTGGAATCCGTCCCCCCAACATTTGGAACCCCTATCCAAAAAAGTTGGAACCCCTCCCTCCAAGAGTTGGAACCTCTACCCAAAAAGTTGGAACCTCTACCCAAAAAAATTAGAATCCCTACCTAATCCAAAATAGTGGAAATCTAACTAAAACAGTTATAATTTAGCTAATCCGAGTCACCCCAAAAATTAAAACCCAATCCAAAAAAATTATAACCCTGACCCAAATAGTTTGAAGCATTATTTACAATTCTTTTAATTATATAATTTTATTCATTATTTATTTGTTGTTAATAAAAAATTGGACTATTTAAAAAATATTGAATATTTTTGGACTACAGTAGAATTTTTTTAATTATTTAAGGGATAAATGTGTGATAGTTAAGGGATAAAAGAGATAAAAATGTGATAGTTAAGGGATAAAAATGTGATAGTTAAGGAAAAAAAATGTGATATTAACCCCGATCGGTCTTGCATTTCTTCGGCCGGTCTTAATTCTTCCTATGTGAATTACACTTATACCCCACAAATTACAATATATATATTTTTTTATTTTCTAGTAAATATTGTGGTCCACAAATTACAAAAACCTTATCTTCTCCCTCCACCCACTTCCCCGCCCAAACCATTTTTCACTTCTCTTGCCTTCCCTCTATCTCTTTTACCGTACATCACTTCTCCCTTTCACCATACAAAAGTATTTGTTTGGTTTAGAATTTGGTATTAATATGATGAATTGAATGTTTATTTGATAAATTGAATGTTTATTTAGTATAAATTTGATGAATTGAATATTAAATGTTATTAGATGAAATTGAATATTAATTTGTTGAATTAATATTAATTTGGTATTGATTTGATAAATTAAATGTTTATTGGATGAAATTGTATGTTACTTTGATGATGATTTGTTAAATTGAACCTTTATTGGATGATTTTTTATGCCAATTTGATAAATTGAGTGTTAATTTAATAAATTTGAATATAAATTAGATGAATTAAATATTAATTTTGTGTTAATTTGATGAATTTAATATTAATTGGATGTGATTGAATGCTAAGTTGATGAATTAAATATTTATTAGATGAAATTGAATGTTGATTTGAAGAATTAAATGTTAATTTGTTATTTATTTGAAAAATTAAATATTTATTGAATGAAATTGCATGTTACTTTGGTGTTAATTTGTTAAATTGAATCTTTATAGGAGGATTTTTGATGTTAATTTTATGTTAATTAAATGAATTTGAATATAAATTGAATGAGAATGAATGTTATGTTGATGAATTAAATATTTATTAGTTGAATTTTAATGTTAGTTTAATGAATTAAATGTTAATTAGGTAAAATTAAATGTTGATTTGAAGAATTGAATGTTAATTTGATGTAAATTTGATGAATTGAGTATTAATTAGATGAAATTGCATGTTCATTTTGATGTTGATTTGATAAATTGAATATTTATTGAATGATTTTGGATGTTAATTAACATTCAATTTCATCTAATTAACACCAAATTAAAATTCAATTCATCCAATTTATATTCAAATTCAATCAGTTAACACTTATTTTATCAAATTAACATCCAAAATCATCCAATAAATATTCAATTTATCAAATCAACATTAAAGTAACATGCAATTTCATTCAATTAATACTCAATTCATCAAATTTACACCAAATTAACATTCAATTATTCAAATCAACATTTAATTTTACCTAATAAACATTTAATTCATTAAACTAATACTAAAATTCAACTAATAAATATTTAATTATCAACGTAACATTCAATCTCATCCAATTTATATTCAAATTCATTCAGTTAACATTCAATTCATAAAATTAAGATAAAAAATCCTCCAAAAAAGATTTAAATTAACAAATCAACACCAAAGTAACACATAATTTCATCCAATAAACATTATATAAATAAAAAATTAACATTCAATTCTTCAAATCAACATTCAATTTCATCTGGAAAATATTTAATTCATCAACTTAACATTCAATCACATCCAATTAATATTCAATTCATAAAATTTACACAAAATTAACATTTAATTCATCTAATTTGTATTCAAATTCATTAAATTAACACTCAATCTATCAAATTAGTATCGAAAATCATCCAATAAAGGTTCAATTTAACAATTCAACATCAAAGTAACATACAATTTCATCCAATGAACATTTAATTCATCAAATCAATACTAAATTAATATTCAATTCAACAAATTAACATTCAATTTCATCTAATAATATTTAATATTCAATTCATCAACTTAAATACCAAATCAACATTCATTTTCATAAAATAAACATTCAATTCATTATATTAACATCAAATTAAAATTCAATTCATCCAATTAATATTTAATTCATTAAATTAATATTCAATTCATAAAATTAAAATAAAAAATCATCTAATAAAGATTTAATTCATCAAATCAACATTCAATTTAACAAATTAACATTTCATTTCAAATAATAAACATTCAATTTATTAAATTAACATTTAAACTAACTATTTAACATTCAATTCATCAAATTAATACCAAATTAATATTCAATTTTTTAAATCAACACCAAATTAACATTCAATTCATCAAATTAACAGAAAATTAATATTCAATTCATTAAATTCGTATTCAATTCTATTTAATAAATATTTAATTCATCAAATTAACCTAACATTCAATTCCATCCAATAAAATTTTAATTTATTAAATTAACACTAAATTAGCATTCAATTCATCCAATATATATTCAAATTCATCCAATTTACACTCAATTCATCAAATTAACATCTAAAATCATCTAATAAAATTCAATTTATCAAACCAACTTCAATGTAATATAAAAATTCATTGAATAAATTTTTAATTCATCTAATCAACACCAAATTAACATTCAATTTCATATAATAAACATTAAATTCATTAAATTAACTATTTAAAATTAAATTCATCAAATTAAGATTCATATTCTTCAAATTAATATTTAATTCATCAAATTAACAACAAATTAATATTCAATTGTTCAAATTAACACTAAATTAACTTTCAATTCATCAAATTCACATTCAATTCCATCTAAAAAATAATTTATTCATCAAATTAACTAAACATTCAATTTAATCAAATAATATTCAATTCATCAAATTAATACTAAATTAACATTCAATTCATCCAATTTATATTAAAAATCATCCAATTAACACTCAATTCATCAAATTAACATCCAAAATCATCTAATAAAATTCAATTTATCAAACCAAAACCAATGTAATATAAAAATTTATTGAATAAACATTTAATTCATCAAATCAACACCAAATTAGCATTCAATTCAACAAATTAACATTTTGTTTTCGTATAATAAACATTCAATTCATTAAATTAACACCAAATTAACATTCAATTCATCAAACTAATACCAAATTAACATTCAATTCATTAAACTAACACCAAATTAATATGAATTGTATGAATTGAATATATATTTGGTATTGATTTCATCATTTGAGGATAAATTTGGTGTTAATTTGACGAATGAATATGTATTGGATGAATTTAATGTTAATAGTTGAATTTAAATGTTAATTTTATTAATTGAATGTTTATTAGATGAAATGCAATGTTAATTTAGCTTTGAGTTAATGAATTAAATGTTTATTTGATTAATTTTCATATTGCTTTGGTGTTGATTTGATAAATTAAATTTTTATTGGATTATTTTGGATGTTAATTTTGATAAATTGAGACAGAGACATTCCCGTGGTGAGGGCTAAGGTCAATGACTATAAAAACCATTGTTAAATAACTCTCATACGCTGCAATGGAGGAAGGCAAGATTTAACCCTACCCACCAAAGATACTAAGTCAAAAAATGTTGGCTGGCTGGAGCAAATAGCAAATTTTGATGCCCTTTTCTGTATGATCATCTTTTTTATCCACTTGGCTCAACATTCTGTAATGCACTGAATTGCTCAATTTTGCTGTGGGTGTGATTTCAATCTCAATATACAGCTACAAATGATACACAACGAAGAGAGCCTGCAGTGCCAAATGACCAATTCAAACCTTCTAATATTGCAGGAAGTGAATCGAGGTAGCAAGCTAGCCAAGACTATAGTCGTAAAATGATCAACCAGAAAAGATTTTCAGTTTAATACCACAGCCAGCTTGCTCCTTGGATCACGCAAGACAGCCTAGGTTGCAATTTGGCTCTACAAACACAACACAAACCCGACATATGGCAAGCTCCATTGGGGAACTGAGTCTGAACTTGCACATTAAATTTCTGCTGTGCCTGAGTAAAGGGTTTTTTTTCCGGTAAGAATAAAGAAAGATTCAATAAACCCAATCTGGCCAGTGCTAGTGCACAACTGATATAACTTGGCCATCTCTAATGTATACTCAGAGAGTATTACAAATAGTTGTATATAGTATGCAAGCGTGTTCTTATCAGCTATAAGGGACAAGAAAAGGTCCGCAATTAAACCACAAAATTTTGATTTTGCATTCAATTCATTGGTGGAAAAATTAGTGGGTGTTGAACGTGTTGCACCAACTCGGTGGCATTGGAAAAAAACTGGACATCACTAGAGGAATTTTTACAGCACACTCAGAAAAAAAAGGCAGATGCAGATAGCAAACTGTCAAAAAAATAGTTGGATGGAACCTAAGTCCCACTCTATTCAAAGGTAGCTCTGCTTTAGGAACAGATTACTCGCTCAATCAAACTCCCCGTGAAAACGATTTCCCAAAAATACTCTCTATGAAAATGGTATGTCAGCAACTACGACGACCTTTTCTCAGTTAAGATGTCATGAGCTGCAGCGAGATTAGGATGTCACCATGTTCAACATCATATAGATTAAAAAAATAGTAAAACAACAATTATCCAAAAGAAAAATTGATAAACGACATAAGTATCTTATTTACATCACTTCGAAAGAAAAGTCGATTACTGAGCTCCTAGTTGTACCTTTGCCAGTAAACATTGCTCTAAGTTGTCCGACCATTGATTTGCTCAGCTTGAAACACTCTCAAGAGCTGCAGAGATTGTTTGTAGAGATTAAGATCAATGCCATCTACATTCCTACCCACTCGTGCCTTCAAGATTGCCTGAAATGAGAGATTAACTGCTGATAGTTAAACATACCATGGGACCTATATACATATGCTGTGAACAAATTTGCCTACCGATAGTGCCATTACAGGTTTAAGAAGCACAGTGTGGACATGTGAATCTACTGTGTCAAATGTAAGGCTGCTTATCTATGTACATATTTAGCAATTTTATCCAGCAAATTTTGTGTCTGGATCACGGAAACATTATAATAACTGGTTCTATGTTCGATATGACACCTCCTCAACAAGAGCAAAACAATGCTAATGTCAGTAATTATGCAGCAGAGATCAGACTGATTTTTCGATTGCTATATTATCAAATACCAACCTTCTTGTGAAGAAGGCCTTCCTATAGAGACATGATACAGAGGCTAGCACATGCCCAGACATGTGTATGTATATTTAGAAAGTGTTCACAAATGTGAACATGTCATACCTCATCACTGGGTTCGAAAAGGAGTTCTCCAATGAACTGATAAGTAGACCCAACTCGAAAATTGAGCTTCATGTGCTGGGTGTCAATCTTTAATCTGACATTTCCATCAACAATTACTGCAATTGCAGTCTCAACAGTGTACTCTTGCAGCCTAAGAGGAACATAAGGACAATTAAGCTTCTCAAAGAGTACACACAGCATTTTATTGATGGCCTTTTGGTAGAGCACAATGAGCTTTATTATACATGTTACAATTGAAAGCTTACATTGATTCTATATCCATTGATCATGTTCAGATAACCAAAAGTTATTAGTTAAGAGAACCAAAGCATGAACGGGGGGGCATAGATGAGTGGAACTCAATGACTTCCATCAAGATAATAAAGCCTAACAAAATAACCTGTTTATTTACCATCTCCTATTCCTCACAACTAACAGTTTAAAAGAAATAAAGATATAATTCCAGTAAAAATTACCCACTTTCCTGTCACTCTAAGCGAAGCACCTTGCTTGAAGTGTGGAGAAGAGGAGCTTAGTTCTTCCAGAGAAACCAGGGCACCAGAGCTTATTGTAGATGATGCCATTGGAGCACCAATTACTAGCAGAAAAGATAGAGATTACAATTCTCCTGCAAATTATAAAATGCAACAATCAAAGAAAGAACAAGAAGGTTACATTCAAAAAATTGCAGCTAATCTCCTTCAGGTCCATGCAATAAACAATTATTTAGTTGCAGCAGTCCAAAAAGGTCGAGCAGCAGCCATTCGTTGTCCCACCCTTTTCCCAACACACACGTAAAATGCAAGACTGCTTGAGACATCTATATTCGTTTTTTGATGCCCAAACTAGTCACAGGATTGCATGATTTGAATTTTAATCAGTATAACTGTATGCAACCAAGAGAAAGACCATAGATTTGAAAAAGATGCAGGCGCACACAATCAGCAGTTTGATAACCAAACTAAATCACAGTTATCCAGCTTCGCTTTGGTAATTGAACATAGAACTCTAAAAGAGTGTTCCCCATTTTGGCAGTTTTTCCTAATCTTAACTTAGTGAAACCTAAATACAGTATCAGTTCAGTAACCAAGAACCTAACAGAGCCCCACAGCAGTCATATACTATCTTTGGTGTGAGATAAATTCCAGGTGCCATGAAGGGAGGTCTCCGACTTGCTTAGTCTCCCTCAATCACTACAAACGCCCCTATAAAGTGAGATCTCTCCCCTTAAAATTTCACTAGAGCTAGGGATGAAGGAGAAAATATTCAATTGAACGGTGATACTACATTAGCATTGTTACATGACATCACCATCTAATAATATGTTGACAAATAAGTAAGTGGACCCCCACACAAATCATTAAGTATCTCCTCTCCCTCCGTGTAAAACAACAACCACCCAGAAAGCAGTTTACCCGCTTGATGTTTTATTATTAGTTGCACCTTTGCACTCCATATTTACTCCACAATAAGAATAAGAGCAACACAGACTTAGATGCTTGACTAAAGTGTGACCCATTAGTCCACAAAAGAGTTTAGTCCAGTGCCAGATATGGCTCTGTCGAACATTCCTTTGTCACGAGCCATTGACAGCTGCACGTAAGTACTGTGACAAAGCAGCTTGTGTATTTAAAAAAATAGAGCAAAAAGGTATCACAGAACAAATTTTAACATTGGAAATTTGAAACCAACACCAATAACACATTCGACATGAATTTTTTAATCTCGGTCATAATTCCAATATATATGTAATATCCGAACCACTTGACGGCACCATTGGGGAAAAGAAACACAGATTTAGATTTCAATGAGGGACATGAACTTAATTTGAAGCGAAAGGAAGAGGGAAAAAAAATGAAACCCTCATACAGACGGTAACTAAATAAGCAGAAGCAGAGCTACTCTTCGTTGATCTCTATGGTGGTGCCATTCCGCTGGTGCTTAGTGACCGGTGAGCATAGTTTTAAAACCCGGCCCAAACACCAACTCGACAAAAAGACTGGGTCAATGGGTCACTGGTCCATCCGGTAAATATAATAAAAAAATAAAAAATAATTATAAATAAAAAAATAGGCTAAAAAATCACAATAATTATAAAAATAACATCAACCATGTAAAGTTAAGTAGAACATCAAACATGTATCCAATTTCAATGTATTCACTTTTCAATACAACTTGTAAAGTTAAGTAGAGAAAAATAACTCTATTGAAATTCAAGGTTCCAAGTCTATGTCCAACTCTTCGACAATGCATCCCAACAGTCTAAGATATAAGACAATAAATAAAGTATAAATCCCAACAAATGAAAATAATAGAGCTCATATGAGAATTTATGCAGTGCAATCAAACAAGGAGAATTTCACAATCTCTAAACTCTAAAATGTATGCAGTAATCAACCACAAGCTCACACCAGTAATCAACCACAAGTAATTTCACTATGGTTTGTGGTTTAACTACTTCACCAGAAACAAGCCATTTTTGGTGGGCATAATTTTAGCAAAGCTGTAGAATTCGATTAATAAACAAAAAAATTTCAAGAGGACCCAGAATTGGCAATCATTCATTCTCATAATTTACAAGCACTTGTTCAGACAAACAGTTGCAGCTTATTTTAAAAGACAATAGCTTCTGCAAATCAGATTGCATCACAGCTAGTAAAAATGTAAAATAATCAAACTCTTATTCAAAATTCTGCAAATCAGATTGCATCATAACTAGTAAAATTATCAAAATTGCATTATAACTCATATTCTAAAATATAGCGACTGATTACAGTCACTGAACGAGGGGAGAGAGATAGAGAGTAGACCTGCTGCTTGATGCGAGTCGATGATGGTCACTCTGTGGACTGTGGAGGACTCGATGGTCACTCGGTGGAGCTTTGATCTAATGGATGGAGGACTCGATGGAGCTTCGTGGACTGGTGGAGGACTCGAGCTTGCTGTTCACAGCAGAGACTCAGAGAGAGAGAGACTGAGACAGAGTTACTGCTGTAAGTCTGTAACTATAAAAGAGAAAAAGAGAGAGAAAGAAAAAGAGAAAGAGAGAGAGAGAGAGAGGGAAACTCACCTTGTCACTGTTCTGTCCACAATCTCTAGCTATTGGTGCTATCGATGGTCACTGGAGTCGATCCTAACTGGTTGCTGGAAGCTGGACTGGAGTCGCTGCTGCTGGAGTGTGGAGTCGCTGTTTCCTGCTGGTGCTGAAGGCTGGACAGGATAATGGAATCACCGGTGGAGGCTACCTTCTCGTCTGGTCTGGACTCTGGAGCGATTTAGGGCAAAAAAAAAAGGGCAAATATACAAAATGCCCAAAAAGTGCAATAAATCTTATATTTATACAATTTAATTAACCCGTCAGGTTTGAATCAATTCTCCCGGTTCGAGCGGGTTCACCGGTTTTTACCGGTTCAACGGTTTGATCCCGGTTTTTAAGCACAAACAGTTTTTATGAGAACCAGTCCGGTTTGAGCACCGATTCGCCGGTTCACCGGGTCAATCCGTCAGGCCGAGCCAAGTTTTAAAACACTGGGGAGATTAACTCAGATAAAGAAAGTGATCGATCTCGTTTTTGAAGGCAATTGTTTTTTTTTTCCCTCCTTTTTTTTTCCTAGTCGTCATTTTCTCTTTTTATTATTATTTTTTTTTAAAAATTGTATTATTTTTCTCCCCAAACATCCATTAAGTGCTATCATTTTTAGTTTATATCAATGAAGTCATAATCTTGATATTTTCTCTCAATTAATAATATTTTTTTGAGAATGGATCAGTTATCATACATTTTTATATGAGTTTTACTTATTTTTTTTTATAAATAATGGTGAGTTTTTAGTGAAGCTATAGACATATGAATGCTCAATGTTTTGTTTAGGTATTAGTATTTACTCTAATTGCGATTCTAAAATCACAAAATACTAGAGTTTTTGTCGTGAAACTCTTGTTCATCGAGAATACACATGGATCTTATTGCATCTCATAATGACAATTTTAAAATTTTTTAGTAATTAGATTTTTCTTAAAAATATCAAGTAGACAATACATAATTTAAAACACAAGAAATTAAGATATGTATGAATAGAGGATGAATAATGTTATTGGTGTCAATATTTGTCAAGAAAGGGATAAAATTGGAACAAAATATAGTCTTTATGAAATTTAGAAATTCATTGAGATAAAATATCAAGATTAAGATTTCATTGATATTAAAAAAAAATAGGACTTAATGGATGTTTGTGGGGAAAAAGTAATACTTATTGGTAATTTTTCCTTTCTCTTTTTCTTTTTTCTCTTCTTATGAAAAATTTAAAGGAGAATCACATTTTATACCCTAAAAGATTCAAGTATTTTTATTTTATACCCATAAATATTATTTTTATTTATTGTACCTTCATTGTATTTTTCATTGCATTAGAGTATTACGATGTTACATTTTTGTTAATTTTTATTATTTATTTCGTCAAAAATTATCCCATTAATATTAATAGAATGATTAATAAAAACTAATGAAAAAATTATATTATAATACTTTTATTACATTAATGGTACTCCTTGCCTTGTGAAAGTTTTGTCTTCTTGAGGTCAAGGGCTCAAGTCCCCCTCCTCCCTCCCCTCCCCAAAAAAAAAAAAATATAGAAAATTTAGTGCTTGAGAGTACAAAGTGGGAATTTTGAAATTTTTTGAGGTACAAAGTAAAATTCATCCAAATTTAAAAGGACAAATTAGATTTTTCTCTTGTATCTGTAGGCTCGCTTTGGACTATATGAATTATATTATACGAAGAGTTCCAAAAAAACAAAAGAAGGGTTTTTTGTACTTTGGACCTTAAAAGATTTCAAATTTTTTAATTTATACCTCCAGAGATTATATTTTTTAATATTAGATCCTCAATGTATCAAAAGTGATTTGTAATGTAACTTTTCTGTTAACTTCCGTTATTTTTCTGTCAAAAACTAACCCATTGATACTAAAAAAAACACTAACGGAAAACTAACAGAAAAATTACATTTCAATACTTTTGATACAATGAGAGTGTAATGTAAAAAATTTAATCTTTGAGATACAAAATAAAATTTTTAAGATCTTTCGGGATGCAAAATACAATTCACCCAAAACAGAATTATGTTATACGAACATAATTTCATTATATGCACTAATATTCTTTTATTGCTTTTGCTAATGGGTTTCATTAAAAGCATTTACCATTGTATAGTTTCGCCTCAGCAAACTTTTCATGCCTCAGGCAAATTTGCATGCTACTACCAGATGCTAAAGCTAAAAATACCCAAGAGCATACAGAAAACTTGAGAAGATCTAAATAAAAATACTAAAAAAATAAAAAAATTGATGAAATTTTAACACGTCAGCTCAGATAAACAACAAGTACTACCGGAGAGGTAAATGGTAAACGACAGAACAAATGACTTATACAATATGATTTACTTGAAATATATGTTACATAAGTTCTCAGGAAGGATATCATCCTCTGTTGATGAAATTTCCAACGTACAATTGAAAAGTTCTGTTTCCTAATGTAAAGAGGAAAAAATTTCGTGGCTGTTTTGGATATTTATCTTTTTCATTTCAATATCAACCCTGCTTGATGACAAAATACAGTCACTGTGAAACAGTTTCTCTTTCTTTTTCCTCCTGTGTTTCAGTTTCTTTCTTGGGGTTTACCCCATCCCCCACCAAAAAATAAAACACATACCCCACATACACACATTAGCACTTTCTCCCCATCTCAAAGTGGAAAAAGGAATTTTTACCTCTTGAAGCAGGAAATTTGCATGAGCTAGATAGCTAGTAGTAAAACATGGGATAGTCTATAAAAGTCATACTCAATGAAACACCTGAGCTGATGCATAGTACTCGCTTTCATTGAACACGGTTCTTAAATCTTCTTTGCACATAAACTGCAATGGGAAAGAAACAAGATGCCCCTTCACTGACTCTAATCTCTCCATTGGATCAGTGCCCTTGGTATCTCCATCTTGATAGGATTCGAGCTTCTCAGGGGCTATTCCTAAGTCTATAGTAGTGTGTCCAATTTTTTTCCTTCCAGGAGGTCATGCATTGTCTGAGTGATGCTCTGCATGCCATTATAAAAATTCTTACACATCAGAAACTAGGACAAAAACAAAAAATATAAGAGGAAGATGGTAGTTGGATCATTCCGGGAATGTATGAGATCGTTGGGAATGCAAGAAAAGACATCTTGGTAGATCATGGTATTTGTCTGTGAATAAAACAACAGTTTTTCATTGTTAGTTGGCGGAAAATTAAAAGCAAAAGATGAATACAAAATAGGTTGCACACAAAACAGTTTATTTTAGAACTCGAATGATGATGAAGAAATCTATATTGCACAAGAACCTCAATAGCAACCCCACCCAAATCAAAAACAAAAAAAACGAAAAAATGCTTTTACATTCATCAGAATCTCAAAAGGCTTGATTTTTTGTCACCAACTCTTGTGGGGAAAATGCAAATGGTAATTTCAATAAGCTGTGGAGTACAATAACTCCTTTTAGTCCTCACCTTTGCAGTTGCCATCCATATATCTTTGTACGTTGTGTCCACCACTTGTTCATTTATTAGACTAATCTGGAAAATTGAGAGGAAAGTGTTAGAGCTTGTCCAACATGGATAAAATAATGCCCTCCCAAACTAGTATATGGGCCTTAGGAAATTTTTCTCAACTGCTTCCCACAAACCAAGCCTTGTTTATTTAGAGTTTTGGTTGTGTAGTGCTTAAATAAACAGAAGCCTTTCAACATTTAGTAGATTCACAAACCTCTCCACCACGAAGACCAAGGTGTTCAGACCATTGTGATTGGCGAAGGCTCAAAGCAAATTTCCCGTCTTCCATGGCTTGCCCCCCATAGATGAATTGACGAATTCTTTGTCTTCAATAAGCACAGCGATCTGAATACACAACCTTATGTGACAACTAAGGGAACAATAATCCAAAACACAGCTCAAGATATACACAGAACAAAAAGCATACTGAAATTTTGTAGCTTGGAAGAAACTACTAGTAAGAGCATCTCCAACAATGACTTAAATTTTTACTCAAATTTAAATTAACATTTGAGTAAAAAGCTTGAATTGATATAAATGGCTCCAGTGGACAAACTCCAATTTAAAGGAGAGACTCAAATTTAAATGAGGCAAACCCAAATTTAAAAGAGAATAAAGATGACCATTGGATCTTTAAAAGATGGTAAAATTTTACCATTAAAGATTTGAGTAAGGATTTAAATCTCCCTTTATTTGAGTAAAAAAATGAGTCTCCTTTAATTTGGTATAAGTTTGAGTCAAAGGTTGGAGCAAGATTTTTAGGCTTTTTTACTCAAATTTAAATTTGAGTCAGGGTTGGATATGCCCTAAGGATGAACTTGACGAGGTTTTATTGCATTACTTTTTTGAATTGAAATTCAAACATATCTACCTCAATCTTATAGCAATTTCCTCTTCAAATCACATCAAGATGACCTTTGAAGGAGTAGGGAAGGCTACTCGGGGAATTCAGGTTATGGTGGGGTCATAAGAGATGGCAATGGTGCTGTCATGTGGAATTGAACATATCTCCTCTAGAGATCAAAGATGCAACATACTCTAAAACCATATTTATAGTTCGCAATAAACAGGGCAAAAATCCAGGAAATATAAGGTGAAAATAATTGTCTACAGTTGTGTTGAAAATGGAACAATATAGAACAAGTGAATTACATTTACTATCCTAGAAAAGATTCGATTATTTTTGCCAAGAAAATTATAAGTGCTCAGCAACCAGCAGAAGCAAGAATTTGAGGTCAAAAGTTGAGAGCCAATTTGTTTGCCTGGACACCTAAATAATCTTCATAATACCAGAAATCATGTAGAATGACAAAAGTTCTAATGAATGACTATCTAAATCAACAATTTGTAGGACAGATACTCCAACTTTCAAAAAAATCTAGATGAACAAGACTTGAGGTAATTGAAAAACTGAACAAATGGAATCCATAAATAAAAACTATTGAGCTTCTGGTATTCATAGAAGAATCTAGAAATACTTCTTCACCAAGATCTTCATAATACCTTTAAAAAGAATTTTTTTAATGTGATAGAATGTTTGTGGAAGCTTAGACTAGAATGAATTTTTTTTGGACCCTTTTTGTATTTACCTTTAAAAAATTTTGTAGAAATGTTAGCACTCAAACATTGTGTTTAAAAAGGTTGTCTTGTGGCATTTATGATGTATACTTGATCATCCCATAGAGGGATTATTATTTTGGGTATTGTAATATATAGTTATTATTTTGTATACTAAATTGTGATATATATTGGTATTAGATGTACTCGGGTTTGGGAGGACTTCGTGGCCCTCTAATTGCCAACCCGGATTTAGTTGGATTATATTTTTAATAGAGGCATGTTTTGGATGTTAGTTAGTTTAAATTATGTTATGTTCTAACAGGAATGCTCTTATTAGCTAGTTGGAAGCCCAATTTTCAAAGGAAACTCTGCTGAATTTTTTTTTAAAAAATATATATATGTTTTGATAAAGACCAATTATTTCATTTCATTCAATTATTATTGTATACTGGCTAGAGAATTTTGGGTAAATATCTATTTTTATTAAATCATGCTTTAATAAAATTTGGAGTGTAACAGGTTGTGGGCGGCAAATGGGTAGTAGAACGATGGTAGGGGGTGGTGTTAGGCAATGGGTGCAATGGGGTGACGGTGGTGTGTGGTGGGTGGGTGGTGGCAGTGGCAACAGTGATGGTTGTGGTGGTAGTGGGTGGCGACGATGGTGGCCACAACGGGGGTGGGTGGTTTTGGTGGTGGTAGTAGGAATTGTGAACACTTAAAATACAAAGAAAAATTAAAAAAAAATGTTAGACACTATTTGAAAGAGTTGAGTTTGGAAAACAAAAAGTTTTGATTTTAAAACAATATGAGAAAATACTAAAATATTAGGGGATACTCCCAATTCCACTTAGTAATTAGTTATGATTTAATTTCAAAACTCAATTAAAAATTAGTTGAGGAGTGATTACAATTGGAATAGTTAGCGGTGATTATATTGAAAACATAAAAAATATAATTGATAAATTATCTGAATAATTTAGGTATTTACTTGTAGATCACAAGCATTCACCATACTCTGTGCTTACGATAAATCAGACTTTTACCTAATTTTATTATAAATAATAAATCAACTATTTTATAAAAAATTTAATTAATTAATTCAAGAACAAAAAATCAATTATTTGACTAATCTCTCAAGCATTTGATATACATGGTATAACGAATCAAGAGATTTTACAAAGTAAAAACATTACTAAAAGACACGAAATCATTAAAAGAAGAAATCATACACTCTCCTAAAATTAGTTGGGGATTTAGCAATCCACATGCATGAAAAAAATAATAAATTAACTATTTTTACACTAAGGAGGCTAGTGTTGGCCTTGGAACATGTACTTGCTAAATAAGAGTCTTTTTAGTTTAAAACATGTATATTAAATCTTGGGGGTGTGGGTACAATACTTGCCAAAATTTTAAGCTCGATTTTTGCCTAGTTAAATGCCTATTCATTTTTGTAGCTCTTGAAGTTTTCTTTCTAAAGCCATAAAATTTAGATCAATCAAACATCGGGTTAAAAAGTTATGACCAAAATACTGAAGACATGTCAAAACCTTAATTTAATTTTGTGTCGGTTTCAAAATGTACTGTAATTTTTTTTTGTCAAAAAATTGTCTTTCTTAATAAATATCTTATCATCTTTATATAGTTTTCTTTTCTGATAAAGACTTAGAACTCTACATATTTTAGAGATAAAAAAAATAGAAAAAAAAAAAAGAAAGGGATACTATGAACCTCCCCATGACAATAACACCATCAAATTCTATTCAAATTTGTGAATAATTAAAAACTCGAATAACTTAAACTTGTAAAAATTACATTTGAATTTTTACTTAATTTCATCGTATAATTATAAAATACAAGTAAAGATTGCATCAAAAAATAGTATATCTAATTTTAAATTCATCAATTATGAGTTATAGATTTAAAATCAATTAATTCTATGCATTGGTGAATGGTGATCCATATCTAATTAAGGGGACATGTAAATAGGCTGATTTTGAAGACGGCGTGGCATGATTTAAAAAGAGAAATTTTAGCCACACTTCTTGTAGTTTATTATAGTTTTAAAGACACCTTCTCTATTTTATGAATTTATACTGACACCCCTTGTCAAATTAAAGAAGTTAATTAAAATATAATTTTATTAAATTTTTTATGATATATTTTCACCATCACCCCTTCTAGATATACATATCTTCAAAGAAACCCCTTGTGTTTTTAAATTTTGTTACGTGTTAAAATTAGTCCTGATTCAAATTTGATTTGAGTTAATTAAATTAATTTTTTTACATATTAAAATTCTAGTCGATTAAAAATTATTTTTAATTAGCTTAAACAAAATTTTAATCAATTTACATTGAATTTTAATCGGTCCGAATTTGATACATAAACAAATATAATATTTATGGATTCAAATTTTAATACGTAAAAAATAAATTTCAATCAACTTAAATCGAATTTTAATAAGTGAAAAAATATAAATTTTAATCAATGCTAACAATTCAAGTAGAACTCAAATCGACTTAAATTTTAATACGTGAAAAAAGTTTTTAATAGGCTTGAATTTTAATACGTAAAAAATTAAAATTTAATCAATTCAAATTGAATTTTAGTCGGCTTAAATTTTAATATGTAAAAAAATAAATTTTAATCAGCTTGAATTTTAATATGTGAAAATATAAATTTTAATCGATTCGAATTTTTAAAAATTACATTTTGAATTTTTACTTAATTTCATCGTATAATTATAAAATACAAGTAAAGATTGCATCTAAAAATACTATATCTGAATTTAAATGCATCAAATATGAGTTATAGATTTAAAATCAGTTAATTCTATCTATCGGTGAATGGTGATCCATATCTAATTGTGTGGATAGGTAAATAGGTGGATAGGTAAATAGGCTGATTTTGAAGACGGCAAAGGCATGATTTAAAAAGAGAAAATGTTAGCCACACCCATTGTAGTTTATTATAGTTTTAAAGACACCTCCTCTTTTTTGTGAATTTTCACTGACACCTCTTATCAAATTAAAGAAGTTAATTAGAATGTAATTTTATTAAATTATCTATGATATATTTGAGAAAAAATTTTATGATCACCCTCTCTTGATATACATATCTTCAATGAGATCCCATTTGTTTTTTCTAAATTTTTTTACGTATTAAAATTAGGGCTGATTAAAATTTGATTTGAGCTAATTAATATTTAATTTTTTACATATTAAAATTCTAGTTGATTAAAAATTATTTTTAATTGGCTCAAATAAAATTTTAATCAACTTACATTGAATTTTAATCGATCCGAATTTTGATACATAAACAAATATAATATTGATGGATTCAAATTTTAATACGTAAAAAATAAATTTTAATCAATTTGAATCAAATTTTAATAGTTAAAAAATAAATTTCAATCAACGTGAATCAAATTTTAATAAGTAAAAAAAATATAAATTTTAATCAACTTGAAGCAAATTTTAATCAGTGCTAACAACTCCAGTAGAACTCAAATCGGCTTAAATTTTAATACGTAAAAAAGGTTTTTAATAGACTCGAATTTTAATACGTAAAAAATTAAAATTTAATCAATTCAAATTGAATTTTAGTCGGTTTAAATTTTAATATGTAGAAAAATAAATTTTAATCAACTCGAATTTTAATATGCAGACAAATAAATTTTAGTCGATTCGAATTTTTAAAAATTACATTTAATTTTTTACTTAATTCCAACGTATAACTATAAAATACAAGTAAAGATTGCATCTGAAAATAGTATAACTAAATTTAAATTCATCAAATATGAGTTATAGATTTGAAATCAATTAATTTTATGTATTGGTGAATGGTGATCCATATCTAATTAAGGGGATGGGTAAGTAGGCTGAATATAAAGGCGGCATGGCATGATTTATAAATTAATAATTAATCAGAAAACAACTCTACCACTACATGACTTCTTTTCAGGGTAGAAGAAGTAAGACTCTCTCTGCATATAAATAGACTCCACTCTTGAGAGTGTTGAGAGAGAAAACAAAAACAGACAAACACCACCCAGAGAGAAACACACGAGAGAAAGAGAGAGAGAACAACCTTCAAACCCAAACCCTAACAATCATGCCGACGAATCTCTGTCGAACACCCTCAAACCCTAACCCTAGCCCCACTTCGAATCTTGCTTCAAACCCCATCGATGGCGTTGCTCGTCGTTCTTCGCCAATTCGATCCCCTCCTTCGCTCCCAATCGTCAGAATGACGGCAGGTTCTCTGTCGAAGTTGGATTCGGGATCATGTTGTTCGATTTGTATGGAGGAATTCGCAGTGAATCAAGAGATGAACCACTTGCCCTGCAACCACTTCTTCCATCGTCACTGCATTGCTTCTTGGCTTAAGAGAAGCAAGACTTGTCCTCTTTGTCGCTGCAAGGTGTCGTTGGGCAAACCAAATCAGGCAAATCCGGCAAATCTCGGCCACGGCAGTCAGTTGCGTCGTGAGCTACTTGGAAGGGGCTTTCGGGTGATTCGATTGCCTTTTTCTTTCCCGTCCTCGGCTCCGTCTCGGGCTAATGGGAATGATCATCCTAATGTGCGTGATAGGAGGAGGAGAGTTGATAACAGGGCTCTGAACTTCAACGAGAACGTGAACGTGAACGTGAATGTGAATGTGAATGTGGATGCGAACGTGAATGTGAACGGGAATGTGAATGTTGATGTGGATGTGGATGCGACCGTCAATGCCTATGTGATGGTTGATGCGGATGGTGACACCGTCATGCTTGATGCTTGAATCTTGACGATGATGCTTGATGCTTGAATCTTGACGATGATGCTTGGTGCTTGAATCTTGATGATGATCGATGAGGATTTTTCGATTTCGTCCTATCGACAAAAAAGAGGATCTTTGGACTTGTTTCTTGGTATGTGGATCCCATCATGTTTCTTGGAATGTTGATGTCGAGACGTGCATGCTAATTCTTGTTTATTCAGAACAGAATTCTTCATTCATCAAATTCGATTCTTGGCAATGACGAATTTTTATTTAACTTTCTCTACGCAGGTATACTGGTTCCTATCTCCTAAAATATCTGCTTTTCAAGAAGAGAAAAAAAAAAAGCAAGAAAAAAAAAGAGCAAAAAAAGCAACCAAAAAAAAAAAAGAAAAAAAAAGAAGAAGAAAGGAATGAATTTTTCTGAGAAGCAGGAGAAAGGTGCCAGACATGAGAAAAAAGAAAGAGAAAAGAAGAAAGAGTTGCATTCAACGATTGGACTCCCCTTGAAGATAAAAGTCTTGCTGACGATTGGGCTCCTTCCTTGGATTTATTTGGAAGCATTCTCTGTGCTGCCTAGTCAAGGATTTTGCTGCTTTGAAGATTCAATTTATTGTAATGCATCAAGCTTTGTGCAAGAACTTGTCACTCACTGTACTTCCAAGTTCAATTAGTGGAGATTTGCCGGTCGTGGTTTTTTCCCTCTACACTGGAGGGTTTTCCACGTAAAATCTTTGGTGTTCCTTTGTCTTCTTTGCTTGCTTTACTGCTCTTTTTTCTGTGTGTTTTGGTTCCCTAATTAAGTGCTTATTTGCTAGATGAATTGGCAATTTTTTATGTGGTTGTCAACTATTGCTGGTATTTAGTAGATAAACATTTGTTTATGCTAAAGCTGCTTGTTGTGCAGCGTATTGGTTTGGCATTGAAAAACAAGCATAATTTTTTGTTCGACATTAGTGTTCATTCTAAGAATTTTTAGAAAGAGCAGGCGGGGGAGGGGTTTGATGTAACCCTCATTCTTGTGATACCTCTTGGAAAGGAGGAGCATAGTTATGACCTGGAAGCCATGACCCCACTACGTTTTTTCAAACTCCAACTTCAATTTTGCATGGAATAGTGTCTCATTGTCTCTCTCCCAAATCCTATATTTTGGTATATCCTGGCTCCCTCATTTAATATCGTTTTGTTCTTTTGATCAGAGATTACCAAAGTTAATGACACCCTGATTTGCTTGTGTTTTGCACCTCTATCAATATGTTTTTCTATTTTAATTATTTACTGTGCATTTGTACCATCTTATGTCATTATTTCATGACACATTACAAAATATTCATTGTATCGTTGTTTATCCTATACTCTCAACCGAAATAGTAGGTCCAATTTTTGCAAAAGGACACCCCTCTATTGGACTGTAAATTTGCTTGCACTGTGAACCCTTCCGCATATTTCCTCTATTTGAATTGTACAGTAAAATTTATTCAAGTTCGCAGCAACCATTTCTTTCTCTGCTTCAAGTTGCTACAGTTTGTCATATTTCCTCTGTTTTATTTTCTACTTTATAAGTGTTTGAAAATTAGCCAAAATCCAATTTGCTTAAACTGTAATTTTTTATTTGTTGGTATGAATGTTCTGGTAGCGCATGAGTTTTGAATCATTATGTTTCTGGTTCTACTACAGAAGTTTGTTGTGTACTTTTCTGGTTTGCTAATGTAGTTATGTTATTAGTTTGGTAAGGCTTTTAGCAGTTCCTATTTTCTTCTAGTGTCTGTTTTGATGGAATTTTACTTCGTTGTTGTTGACTTGCTGTCATACTTTGAGGCAGTGTCTCTGATAATGGTTTTTACTAGTTTGGAACTTTAACAAACATGCCCATGAATGATCATTTAGGGTTGCATTGCATATTAATGTAGTTCTTGCTTTTCTCCTCAAAATGTATGATACATCTCGATTGATATGCTCCAATGGGATTACAAAACCCTAGTTGTAAGGTGCCATATAATAAATTTATTGATGATTGATAATAGAGGAATGATATTGAGACCTAAAAAATTGATCTTATTTGCTTACCATGTGTTTTTTTTTTGAAATCATTGGATGAAAAACAAGTTCTGTACGATGTTTCATAGGCCTATGGTTATGTTAATCTTAAGGTCATAGTGAATCAAGTTATAAGTTAAATTAGTGACTAACCTTCTGAAACTATTAATTAAATGAATTAGATAATGGTTGACTAGTAGCCGTCATGATGTTTAATTATATACTACACTACACTGCCCAACCCCATCGGTAATCTTAATTAGGTTTGACAATGATGAACACATTTTATGTTATTTTATTGGACATAGTAAAGGGTAATTTAGGTAATTAATTTGACCCTACAACTTTCAACCATTCCAAACCATAACGTGAATGTTTGTTACAATTTTCTTGAAAAACTTAACAAATGTATGCAGGAAAAAAAATATTTTCTTTTAATTTTTCTTTGTTTCAGTTCACTTTTAGTACTTTTACTTTCTATCATTTGTTTGTTTCTAATCAAACGCACCCAATACTTTTTTCCCACCACATCTCACACATCCAAACGATCGACTACTAAAGATATGCACTTATTGACGAGAAAATTAATGTGGAAATTAAATAATACTTCTTGACATTATTTAGGAGACAAGATTTGATCGGTATTTCAATTGAGTTCATACAATAGTGAGGGCTTCTCTTGTAAATCTTAAAAATTAAAAGAAGCCTTAATGAACGTGTTGCTCTAAAATGTGCTGGGATTAACAGAGATATCAATAGACAGATAGTTTTCCGGCAATTATTTGGTGTTGACATTTAATCACACCTAACACATAATGAGTTTTCATTATACCTCTTGAAGAACCCAAAAATAAACTGAATCATTATTTGTTATTATAAGCCCAATGAAGTCAAATCTGAACTACCCCAAGCTTCCTTTCACACCCGAATCTCATGCTTGGTTGTAGAAGTGGCCATTAGAGTTCCTTCTTGTGTTCTCACACTCACAAATCCAAGGGTGTATGGTGTTAAGCCAAACAGAATGTAAAGAGAGATAGAGAGTATGTGAAGAGGGAGAGTATTTGCTTTGGAAGACTTGTATTCCTTGAAAATCTATATGTATATGGGTGGAGATAACCACCAAGGTAATCCCCTTATAACCACCCAATCATGGGGTACCATGATCACCTCCACTTAGGAGGGTGGTTTCTCGTGTAACTTCCACCAACCACCTAGGTCGGGATCCATTTGCCCATGTGGGCGGATCTTGATTCGGATCCAATAACCTACCATTAACTAACATCTCCCACTTGCCCACATAGGACAATTTATCAACAAGGTCTCTAAACTTCATCTCTTTCACTTATCTCTTTATACAGGAAATAGAGCACGACCCAACGAGAGGCATGTGTAACAATAGGAGTACTCTATTAAGTTAACACCAAACTAACAAAGTACATCAGCCAGAAGCATCTCGAAGTACCTAGACAATTCGATTACACCTGATATAACACTCTTAATCCCTCAAAACAAGTAGTGCTAAACCCCAAATATGTAATGCACTCAAGACTTTATCAAAAAACAAATACGACAAAGTTGCCCAGGCAATGAGTCATAAAACATGTTGTATCATCGAATAATCTTCCCCGGCCCCATGTCAATCCAAGTAGACTCAATTGTTTTCCTAATCATGCCCCGCGAGACCACATCAATCATGATCCTCGGTCACATGCTAAAGTAGCAACATTGAGCATCCTCTTTATGACATAGTCATGTGTCGACAAGGGTATATATAAGAAAAGAATCCAAGTGGCTCACACAGTGTTGAAGCAGGGATTCATTCGACACTCCCACTATCGATCAACTTTAGCACAAATGGTATGAAACGTATGCTATGGCGTTGTCCAATAAAATGATAAGCATGCCACATTTGAAAGAATAAAGGAATGCCATACAGATCTTAGTCTAGTTGCTAAAGAAGCGCCTAACCTGAGTTTTTCAACCTAGTCAACCTCATACCGTATGTCTGAACAATCACATCCGGCTCTCTATAGGCTTCATAGAGTTGTGGAGATACTCTATGATCAACCTAATGAGGTCTCATGTTAGTTCTAACTAAGGCGATATATAACAGTAATGTTTATGTTTATCTTGATCACCTCTTAGGTGCCAAAGATATAAATGTCTTATCTTGCTTGCTTTCTCAGCGCCAAGGTGAATAACCCGTGTGAGTGGGTTGATTCAAGCCCAGTGATACCTTTGACATAAAGATGTGTATTTACGTAATGCAACAACCATTCCAAGAAGAAATCATATAAGGAATGTGTGCTCATAATAATGTCAATTACAAAAGGAGTCCATACATATCAAACCACACAAAGTCCCATGCTCCTAATGCGGGACAAAAAAACTTATCTGGCAATGGGCTTAGTCAAGGATCACCTACTATATCGCTAGTGGATATATGCTTCAGGAACACCTCTCCTTGCGCAACTATATCTCTAATGTAGTGATAACGAACATCGACGTGTTTGATTTTCCCATGATACTTGGGATACCTCACATATGCCAAAGCGGATGTGCTATCACAATAGACAAGTGCAGCCTCGTCTGCATGGGATGTAATATCTAACCGCTGGACGAATCTCCTCAACCAAACAACTTCTTGAATAGCTCCTAAACAAGCCACATACTCCGACTCCATCGTGGACAAGGCAATGCAAGTCTACTTTTTACGGTACCAAGAAATAGCTCCTCCTACTAAATTGAATGCATAACCCATTGTGGATTTACGCTCATCTTTGTCACTTGTCCAATCAGCATCGAAGTAACCTCTCAATTTAAGATCTCCACCATGATAGCAT